ACTTCCACAAGCCCCTTCCAGATGGAGAACCAGCAATTAAACCTGATTGGCAACCTTTCTCTCCAACATCCCTTTCTAAAGTCTATGCCCAAATTAGGAATATTTGCTTTTTAAATAGTGCACGTATTTAATAATATACTTAACACAATTGGGGTTATGTGATGAGAAGGAGGAATACGGCAAGAAGTTCTTTAAGCATCAGTTTGAGGAGTTTTATAAAAGTACTGCCATGGTGCAGGTTTATAAAGTCCACTTAAACTTTTGTAACATACAAGCCTGCTATGCCTCTTTCGTTTTGTCAGTTTTCTCCTTTGTGAGACTCCTAGCATGCACTTGATGCCTTGCTCCCTTGTGAGTTTCCATCGTGATGGGAAACACAGGCCACTGAATGAAGTTGGCAGCATTCTCATACTGTTCCTGTTCCAGAGTCCTTCTGATTGGGAGGGGGCAGAATGAGGAGAGTGCTCCTAGCTGGTGGAAGGCTTGTCATTAACGTCTGTTAGGAGCTGCATCAAATGCGAGTGTCATTTTAGTTCCCTCTCCCTACTAGACTGTTGGCTCACTGAGGGCAGTGAACATGTTTGCCTTGCTCCCTGCCTGGTCACGACCGCCTAACCAAAGGCCAACTCAGTATAGCTTCATCAAATAAATGTAATCCTTACATCAAACAACCCTTCCAGGTGGACATTTTTATTCCCAATTTACAGATAAAATGTTTTGTTTGTTTGTTTTTCCAGAAAGTAAGAAAGCAGGATTTATTGAGAGGACAGAAAAGTTCCCACCGTAGGAGGTGACCTGAGGGGGTTGCCATGACAAAATGTTTTTAAATTATATTTCAGAAGTTTGCATTCCATCTATGTTTGCAAATAGGCTCTAGTCAAATATTACTAGCCATATACCCAGAATTATTTTATAGATCTCTTGATTCTATTTTGAGATTCTATGTATAATCCAGTCCTAAATGCCTGGGAGAATTAAAAAGAGGTCAAAGACCTAATATGCATTCACCAACATGTATTAAATGCCCGTTATGCGGATGAGGGCCCTGAGGTACACAGGTGGATAACAAAGAATTCCTGTCCTTGAAGAACTTACAGTCTAATAGGTCTGACTATGCCTCTTTTGCCTTTACAAAAAAATTATTACTAAAGTGAGACATGCTGACTGTAAAATATTTGGAAAGCCCAGGTAAGAAAAAAAAGGAAAAAATTACCCAAAGTTCAGATAATGTTCTATAAATCCTGAGGTAGGACCTGTGACTTTGTATTTCTGTGTCCACAAAACTGTGCACAGGACTTCGAGCAGAAGATGAGCTCAGTCAATGCCTTTAGAATGGTGAGAAAGCCGGGCTCGGTGGCTCAGCCTGTAATCCCGCGCCTTTGGGAGGCTGAGGTGAGTGGATTGCCTGAGCCCGCGGGTTCGAGACCCGCCTGGGCAGCGAGACCTCATCTCTACAATAAATCACAAAATCAGCTGGGCGTGGTGGCGCATGCCTGTAATTCCGGCTACTCGGAAGGCTGAGGCGTTAGGATCGCCACGCTGTGGTGGCTGGGAGCGGCCACAGTCTGGGCGACCGAGTGAGACTCCAACTCAAAAAAAAAAAAAAAAAAAAGAATGGTGAGAAAGACACCCTTAATCCCACCCCCATGAAATAAACTGTTAACGTTTAGAAAATACCCTTGGAGGCCAGGCACTGTGGCTCAAGCCTGTAATCCCAGCACTTTGGGAGGCCGAGTCAAGGGAATTGTCTGAGCCCATGGGTTCGAGAGCAGCCTAGGCAACTTGGTGAGACCTCATCGCTACAATAAATCAAAAAATTAGCCGGGCGTGGTAGTTCTGCAGTTCTGGCTGCCTGGAAGGCTGAGGCAGAAGGATTGCATGAGCCCAGCAGGTTGACGCTGGGGTGGCTGTGAGCATGCCATTGCGCTCCAGCCTGGGCGACAGAGTGAGACTGCAACTCAAAAAAAAAAAAGAAAAAGAAAGAAAGAAAGAAATACTCTTGTCTTCCTTTTCTTTGACTAACAAATGGCTGGCTGAGATGCCATTCTCCCTTTTGTACCTAAGCCAGGTAGGCATTTGGCCTCTTTAGCACCCCCTACAGATGCTGTGTTGCTGCTCATCATGTTTACTGGTAAGTTGATTTAATTGGTCAACTGAGGCAAGTCTTTACATCCTCCCCTCCATAGCCCAGAGTCTTTTCACACAGAGGGGTCTCTTAGATGTGGGAAATGCAGTCGCTTTTTCCAAGTGTCCCCCCATGCACCCCCACCCCATCCCAGAAAAGCCTCGGGGTCAGGAAGTTGGTTTCTCCAAGACCAGTTCCCTTGGGTAGAGGGGAACTTTCAACAGGCTCATCAAACCAGGCTGCATGTGGATTCACTTTAGAGAGCTTTCGAAAGTCCAGACACCCAGGCCTCACTTCACACCAGTTAAAACAGTATCTCTAGGCACAAGGCCTAGGCATTGACTTTTTTGTGTTTTTAAAGTTCCTTGGGTCAGGGATTGAAAACCACTGATATAAAGGAAGGCTAGGCTGTGATGTGAGTAGCCTTTTGAGGCTAGCAGAGGGCACTGCAATGGCCAGAGTCCAGACACAGCCCAGGATTTTCTGCATCCCACTTTGTGCAAAACCTGGGTGGTGTCAGTGGGCAATTGGTTTGCAAAGGAGAACCCGAAGAAGGAGATAACATCTTTGTTCCAAAGAGTTCACACGGATCCCTCTGAAAGGACACATAGAACCCATGCATGTTCACATAAGGCATGGATAAATATGGGGAAGTCAGTGTGAAGGCCCAGCTGGGTTATTTTGTAAGGCACATAAGTTTTCTGGCTTAATTATGGAGAAAAGAAGATTTTTGCCAAATAAACTGAGATAAGCCACTTTAACAATAGGCTGCTTAGAAGGAAGATAATTAGAATTAGATAATCTTTATTTAAATAGGTATTGAGTACCTGTTATTTGTCAAGCATTGTGCTAAGCATTTGATGTCCATAATTCATTTAATCTTTGTGATAACACTTTGCACCAGGTATTATTTATCCCTGCTTTATAGTGGAAGAAATTGATGCTAATCAATTTTAAGTAATTAGCATACAATCACATTAAGCAAAACAGATTACCTTAGCCTCTCTGACTCCAAAGCCCATGCTTTTTTACAATGCCAGACTTTATGATCTGGACTTGCATGATTACAGGCAATACAGAAGATGGGGGCTGGGAATCAAAGTGGCCATCCTCTCAAGAAGAAATAACTTCCAAAATGACAAGTCAGCTAGAATGTTTTCCCTACTGAGAAATACCCAGGGTGTCCTGAGGCAGGCAGCATGGTATATACAAACAGTTCTAGTAGTTTCTCCTTCGAACTGGCCTTGTGATCTGGACTTAGTCGACTTTCAAGGGAGGACCTTAAAAAAAGCTAGAATTATTTTTTGGAAGTTGGGTCCCTTGTAGTACCTTGTAGGCCTCCACCACTAGGTAAGTAATCTAGGAATCCATCACATCAGTGTACCAGCTAGTGTTGTTGTGAGAGACTGTGTTCTGCTTCAGTGAATTATTTTTATTATTTTTAGATTCTTTCAACACATTTGCCCATTTTATGATGGGTGATTTATGAACACACCTGCCCAAAAACTGAGTATTCAGCAGTTTTTGACCAAAAAAACAGTGTGAACCCCTGTGCCCCACCCTCCCTATTTACCCGATCCCCCCAAGCAACTTTTTGTTTCTTCAGATGAAAAAAGTCCTCATAGGTAAATATTTGCCAGTAAAGAGGTGAAACAAAAAATGGCAGAAGCTCTAAGAGGCATCAAAATTGACGAGTTCAAAAGCTGTTTTGAGCAATGGAGAAAGCATCTCGATAGGTGTATTGCGTTAAACAGAGAGTAATTTGAAAATGACTGAAGTTTAAACATGTAAGAATAAATACACAATTTTTAATAAATAAATTCTGGGGGTTTTGGGGTCCCTCCCCATATTTCTCATCTGTGAAGCAAAAAGGGTTAAGAATGGTCGTTGGTTTAAATTACCCCATGTAGCTGGGTTCAGTGGCTCAGCCTGTAATCTCGTGCCTTTGGGAGGCTGAGTTAGAGACCCGCCTGGGCAGCGAGACCTCATCTCTACAATAAATCAAAAATGAGCTGGGCGTGGTAGCACACGCCTGTAGTTCCAGCTACTTGGAAGGCTGAGGCGGAAGGATCGCCGAAGCCCAGCAGGTCGAGGTTGCAGTGGCCGGGAGCGGCCACTGCACTCCAGTCTGGGCGACAGAGTGAGACTCCAACTCAAAAAAAAAAAAAAAAAAAATCACAACTTGCTCAAAGGCCACCACAACTTTACAAAAATAAAAAATAAATAAATAAATTACCCCATGCAGGCCTGGGCTACAGGAGGTGGTGCTGGGGACAGGAGAGACAGACAGGACTTCTCTTTCTCTTCAGCCAAAGAAGCTCTGCATTTAGTTACTTGAAGAAAAGTTTCCCTTGCCTGGGGGTGCGGAGAGAGAAGGAAGGACATTTGAAAGGAATTCACTGGGTTAGTTCATTTCAACGACCCTTCCATTTTGATAAGTCTCTGGTTCTCTGTTTTTGCAAATTTGTGGTGCTGGGAAGAATCAGTGCCATCACATTGCTTGAGTGCACACTGAACAGGAGAGTGGGGTTTTAGCATTTGAAGGGAGAAAGAGCAACGGAGGACAGGGGAGGACAGAAAGGCCACCAGCCACTAGCAGAGCTCAGAGTCAGGGGCTGGTACCCGGGCCAGGCTATACGCTGCCAGGCAGACACAGGAACAACCGGATCAGACAGGAGTCAAGCAAGTGCCCTTTGTTGTTAACGAGGGGTTTTGTTACTGCCACAGGAATATAGTCACAACAAAGTAAGAAGTTGGGCTCCAGGCCTCATCTCCCTAAATTGTACTTTCTCTTTACCCAAACAGGGCAAACGTCTCTTGTTCTCTTTTAGTAGTTTAGAATTCAAGCAATTTTCTGTTTCTTTGTGTTTTTCAGATCTTAAATCCAAATTTCATTCAAGAAGGTGAGTTGAAGAGCAGTAGTATTTAGATTGTGGGGATTGGTTAAATAAATTATAGTAAATCCAGCATTAAAGTAGAGCCTTTAAACAACAGTGACATAGTTCTGCATTCGTAAGCAAGGAAAAATGTTTATGATCAACTACTAGATGAAAAAGACTACAGTTTGCAATATGTATAATGGGGTCCAATTTTGATAAGTTTGTTTGTGTAAAGCCTAAAAGGATATATACCAGAATGTTCACAGTTGTTATCTCTGGATAATGACAGCATGGAGCTTGTATTTCTTTTTGCTTATTTGTATTTTCTAATTTTTCTACAAAAACCGTTTATTACTTTTAAATACTTTTTAAAGGAACACAGATGACTCAACAGTGTTATGCTGTTATTTGAATCCTTACACAACATGGGTGGGAAATGAGATGGTCGTGTTAAAATAAATGGCTGTCTTATTCTGAGTTTGTTCTGAATGATGTGAATGTATGTCAATTTGATCACAGTGGCTCCAGAATTCCTTGTGCCATTAGTGGATGTGACCTGTTTGCTTGGGGACACAGTGATATTACAGTGCAAAGTCTGTGGGCGGCCAAAGCCCACCATCACTTGGAAGGGTCCAGACCAGAACATCCTTGACACTGACAATAGCTCAGCCACATACACCGTCTCCTCCTGGTAAGCTGATCACCCTGGCCTCAGCACCAACAGCCCCTTAGAGCAGACCCAGAGGCTGAGTCTGGGATGCAGACTATTTTTTAGTGACTGGTCTCTCCAAAAGAGGAGCCGCCCTGGGGCCTTGTCTAGCTCAAACACTTGGCCTTGATTAAGAGACAGAATGAGTATAAAATGGTGGTCAGTTCAGCTGCACAAGAGTTCTCAGGGCTACGAGCTTCAGGCACAGCCTCTGCCACTCAGGTTGTAGCTCCTGCCAGCCCAATGGACATCTGGGTGGTACCGGCAGACTTATTCCATGTTGCTCAGCACCTTGTAGACATGCCTGGGACCAAAAGAAAGGTTTGCTCTGGATCCACATTAAACAAAGAAAAAATGTAAACCTTTATGTCTCAAGTCAAGCATGAGTCACATTTTTGAAGAGTTTTAGAGTCACTGCCTTACATTCACCCAATTATTAGATGGTCTTTCCCTACGGATTCCCAAGTAAATCTCTAAGTCTTAGACTTCTGAGGCAGTAGTGAAGGCTCCAGACCTGTAGTACAAATGTGGTCCTCAAATCTGGGCATCCTGGTGTTTTTTGTGCCCTTCAAGGTATTGTGAAATAGTGAGATATTTAACTCCCTACCTAAGAAAAATTTTACCAGGAAAAATAATTACTCATTCCAAAATGTGCAGTAGAAAATCAAGCTGCAAGCCTGCTTCTTTTCTTTTTTTTTTTTTGAGTCAGAGTCTCACTCTGTTGCCCAGGCTGGAGTGCAGTGGTACACTCACAGCCACCGCAGCCTCAATCTGCTGGGCTGGGGCGATCCTTCCATCTTAGCCTTCCAAGTAGCTGAAACTACCATGCCTGGCTAATTTTTTGATTTATTGTGGAGATGAGGTCTCACCAAGTTGCCCAGGCTGGTCTCGAAGCTGTGGGCTCAGGCAATCCTCTCACCTTGGCCTCCCAAACTGCTGGGATTATAGGTATGAGCCACTGCACCTGGGCTGCAAGCGTGCTTCTACACTAAAAGGCCATTTAACAAAACTTGATTGCCTCCCAGTCATTCTGTTAACATTATTGTCATGAATTATGAACTTCATGGCATGCTACGGCTTACAGTGGACAAGCAGTAGCAAGCCCTAAATGCTTAAGAAACATTTATGGAGCCGGGCTCGGTGGCTCAGCCTGTAATCCCAGCACTTTGGGAGGCTGAGGTGAGTGGATTGCCTGAGCCCATTCGGTTCGAGACCCGCCTGGGCAACTTGGCAAGACCTCATCTCTACAATAAATCAAAAATTAGCCAGGCGTGGTAGCGCGCGCCTGTAGTTCCAGCTACTTGGAAGGCTGAGGTGGAAGGATCGCCGGAGCCCAACAGGTTGAGGCCGGGAGAGCCCACTGCACTCCAGTCTGGATGACAGAGTAAGACTCCAACTCAAAAAAAAAAAGAAACATTTATGGAAGAAACACCTAGAATTAAGAAACTTTCATTCATTGACTCAATTTGTGTGAATGTGGTGTGGACAAGGACCGTCATTGTTTGCTGTGCCCAGCAGGGACTGCCTGGCCAGGTCATAAATAATGTCAGTGGGTCCAAGAAGCTAGTGTGAGAGGCAGCACTTGGTGAGGATCATGAAGAGCGACTGGATTTTGTGCCTCTGTATTTCACCCTTTCAGAACAGTTCTTCTCTTGGGATGTTCCTGGACTTTATACAGAGACAAGTGACAGTTATCATTTAGGTGAACGAATTTACCTTTTCTTAATTCACTTAATTATTTTGAGGATCCCACATGTAGACTTTAAAATACATTTTCATTCTTGAGTTTTTCCTTTTTTGTACTGTTCATTATTGATCATTGAGACTGAAAACATTCTAGGGCAAAGTTGCTAGTGGTAATAATACTAATGATGTTGTATTACTGTATAGGACTTTAATCACGTTCTAATTCTTATGTCATTTTATTTCTCATTCTGTCCCCATTTATGACAAATTTGAGAGATAGGCTTGGCCAGAAATTTTTCCCCCACATAAGGAAGGGAATGGAGATACAGGGTCAAGGTGATCACCCAAGGTGTGCAGGCAGATAGCAGAACAGAGACTGACCTTGGACCTAAGGAGTCTCAGTTCAGCATCTCGTGCCAAGGCTATGGGATTTTACGCATCAGACAAATGTCTCATTCCTGGAGTCTTGGTCATTCCTCTTTGGTGTTCCTAGTGATTCTGGGGAAATCACCCTGAAGATCTGCAATCTGATGCCCCAAGACAGTGGGATTTATACCTGCATAGCAACAAATGACCACGGGACCACATCAACATCTGCTACAGTCAAGGTGCAAGGTACAGCCAGTCTCTCTGTTAGTCAAACTTTTAAAAATACTTTTTAAAAACATTTATTTTTTAAATTGTAGTAAAAACACACAACATAAAATTGACCACCTCAACCATTTTCAAGTGTCAATTCAGTGGCACTAAGTACATTCACATTTTGGTGCTACCTCACCGTCATCCACTCACAGAATTCTTTTCATCTTCCCAAACTGAAACTCTGTCAGTATCCACTAAACAGTAACTCCCCATTCCGGCCTCCCCACTGCCTCTGGCCACCACCATTCTTTTTCTGTCTTTATAAATTTGTGTTAGTCAAACACTTTAAGTGAACATGACAAAAATGCCCTGAGATCTGAGTAGAAAAGGTTCATTGTGAAAATCCCAAAATAAAGACCTGGCAAATGGACAGAAAACAAATCTTTGCTAAGAGCTGTTTGTGCCCTACAATTAACCTACTCTATAGTCCCCAGTCCAAGCTCTATCTCCGGGGTGCTGTATATCACCCAGGGAAGAACTTCAGGCCACAGGACGTGTCTCCCAGGTCTCCCTTGGGCCTGGAAAATGGTATGCCACTTGGTGGAGAAGGTCATAGGAAAAATTTGAGATATAAGATAGGTGATGTTCCCTAGATGACGTCCTACGTTGGTGTAAAATGCCACGTTCTGCAGACATAGTACTTGATCGTAATTTCTGTCTCCACAGGGGTTCCAGCAGCCCCTAATCGTCCCATTGCCCAGGAGAGAAGCTGCACCTCAGTGATTCTCCGCTGGCTGCCCCCCTCTAGCACGGGAAACTGCACCATTTCTGGTTACACCGTGGAGTACAGAGAGGAAGGTACGCTGTCTCCTCCTGGGAGGCCCTTCAGAGTTAGAAACCGATTTGCCGCCTGTCTTTCAGAAGCTGTTTGTTCTTGTGTCTTCTAACTCAGCTTAGAGGCCGCAGTGCCAGACTACAACTGCTTTCTGATTTCAGAGATCGAGCAGCCATTTTTGTTCGATGAACCTCTCTGACATGTTCTGACCCAGAGCAGATTTCAAAGTGCTTTCACACACATTTCTCTACTTAACACACTCAATCACAGTCAGGCCCATTTTACAGATGAGGAGGCTAAGGCCTAAAAAAATTAAGAGAATGGATGCAGTGGCTTATATCTGCTTTGGGAGGCTGAGGCGGGGGTGGGGTGGGGGGGGCCACTTAAACTCCAGGAGTTTGAGACTAGCCTGGGCAACATAGTGATACCCACTCTCCCCCATCTCTACAAAAAATAAAATTAGCCGAATATAGTGATACACACCTGGAGTCCTAGCTACTTGGGAGGCTAAGGTGGGAGGATGACTTGAGCCCAAGTAGTTCGAGGCTGCAGTGAGCTCTGATCATACCACTGCACTACAGTCTGAGTGACAGAGTGAGACACTGTCTCTAAAAAAAAAATTTAAGAAACACAGGTTGTAGTTAATAGGAGGCAGAGCTGACCCTAGAACCCAGCTCCCTGGTTTGCTAATTTGTGATCTTTCTCCCAGAGAATTAGCTAGGGTAGTATGATCAGAGCTCTCTCTTCCCTGCTCCTAGATAAAATTTAAAGTTTTAAAACGTGTTACATTTGCATGCTTTAAAGTGCATATATTTCTTTACCAGTTAGAAACAACTGAGACTTCCATCTAGTTATCAGGAATTAGTTAAAATAAGAAGCTTCCAGAGAGTTCTAATTGTTAATAACATATCTCTGACTCACATTATAAATTGCACAGCTGAGTTGAAAGCAAATGTCTGCCACTCTACTCCACCCCCACAACTAAAGTCATTCGTTTTGCTCTACTCTTCATTACTCTCACTATTTTAACTCTTCTGTCTTCTTCTCTTTTATTAAACAGGCCTTGTGCAGTTATAACATTTTTTATTTCTGCATCCCTCTTAAGCTGTTCAGTCTTGAGTCTCTCAGGTCAGCACAAAGGTGCTACTGTGGAGCTGGGACACACAGTTCACAACGTTTATATTTAACTTAGTGTTATTCAGGTCACAGTTCACCTTACTAACTAAGCTCTCTTGGGTAATTGTTAAACATTTCTGAGGCTCCGTTTCTTCATGTAAGTAAGATTAACACAGCCTACCTCATCTGTTTTCTGTGGATTTAAGTGAGAAAATTAAATGAGAGAATTATATTGAAGACACTTTCCACAGTATTTTACATGTACATAGTGCTTAGTGCATGTTAATTTCTATTTGTTTCTACTTCTAAATGCATATTTTCTCTCATGTTGTTATTAATGCATAATATATTCTTACAGCCTTATCAAATATCATCACGTGTCCCCTGTAAATTCTGTATTATCGAGGTCTTTCCACTCTCACACTTGCACATCTGAAAGTGGACGAAATCTACAGGCCAGCTTCTTCCACAGCCCTCACTATTTAGTCAGTCATATAGGAAATCGACTAAACTGCCACAGTTGACCCACAGGCTTTCACAGTCCGCTGCAGTGACCACAGCAGTCCCTTGAATTGAATGTGTCAATTTTCCTTTCTTTGTTTGCTGAAGGTCTTTGAAACAATGTTCCTTTGGCTTTTCTCTTTCCTTCTCCTGGGAAACTGTGCACCAGGTTCTCAGATCTGGCAGCAGTCGGTGGCTTCGACCTTGGACACTTACCTCGTCATCGAAGACCTTAGTCCTGGGTGTCCTTATCAGTTCAGAGTCAGTGCCAGTAATCCCTGGGGAATCAGCCTTCCCAGTGAGCCCTCGGAGTTTGTGCGACTTCCAGAATATGGTGAGTCCCAGCCCAGGGCCCCTAGGCAGTGGAGACAAGGCGCCTGGCCAGCTATCACAGACTCCCTGGCACTGGCTGTGCATTGGCATGTCAGGCCACCAGGCAAGAGGTGACCGACCTGGAGCTACTCAGCAGCTTCAGTTAGGCAGCAGTTTAGAGACTTGATGAGGAATGTTTCCATAAAGTGTGACTCCAAGCACCTTGGGCGAACATTAGATCTGCTACCCATGCCTAAACATGTGCCTGCCAAGTTCCCTGGGAGACTGGGTATGTATCCAGGAACAAAGAGGGCCAGGCAGGAGTCATGAGTAACATGAATGCTATCTGTCCCTCTTCTGAGACAGGAATGCAAAGCCTTCTCTCACCTGGGCACCCCTGCCAGGCATACACTTACCTCACAGCACTAGGGGCAGTCCCCTCACACACTGAAATGGGGAGAGAAGAGCAACCTGGCTGAGGATTCCACTGCAAAATGAATATGTGATACTTCCCTCACCTCTGATGACTCCAGAATTTTTTTCAACATGGAGATACTTTTAGGTAGACTTATCGATAAATTAACTAAGATGTCCATATAACTAGCTAAATATGAGTATTTTACAAGCATGGTTCTTATCTTGCCCACCAAGTCACCTGGGTTCCAGGGATGTTTTGAGAGAGGAAACTTGGTTAGCCTAAAGAAATCTCGAAATAGTGAGATTTCGGGAAGTGCAAGGGAGTGGTCCATGTGTGTTGGGGAGGGCAGCAGCTAGGAGGTGCTTGTACTTTGTAAAAGGCAATGGACCTGTATATCCTTAAGTTAAGGGAATTCTGGAGTCTTCAGAGGAGCTTAGGAAGCCCTGTAAGTCCTTGGGCTACACCCACTGCCAGCTGAGCCCAGAAATGCTCTCCAGGCCCACCTCCACTGCCAGCCAAGTTAGTTCTCTCCCTGTGACTTGGCTTTGTTCCCACAGGCCTGTGACTCACTGGGAAACCTTGGTCTTGAGTCTCTGTTTCCTTAGAATTCAAGATGGATAAACCATCTTTGATCTCAGCCTGACCTGTGCTCTGGGCAGCCTGAGGTGACCAGCTCTGGGGTCAGAAGAGCCAAGCTGCTGACTTGGCTCCTCTACTCCCAAGTTACGCACTCGGTCCTGCCCTGGGACAGTCACTGTTGGCCGTATGTTTTGCAGACAACACAAATGCATGTTGGTGTGTGTGTGTGTTTGTGTGTGTGTGTGTGTGTGTGTGTGTGTGTGTGTGTGTGTGTGTGACAGAGAGAGAGAGAAACGTGTGAATCATTGCCAAGGAATTGGCATACCACATAATGCTGCCAAGGGAGCTATTCAGGCATATATTGTATTAAGTTAAATTATTCAATAAACCAGATAAGTTCATTAATGCCGAGAACAGTGGGGTAAGACAGAAAATTTGGGGATGTTTTTCCTTTTGTCCTTTCCTGACCTTGTAACTTTTCCCTTATTTTCTAGCTGCAACCTCCTACAGCCCTGATTCTCAGTGGCTTTTCGAGGCCTTCAAAGTGGGGTTTTTTTTCTTCCTTTTTATTTCTCCTACCAAATTTCTATTTTAAGATATTCAGAAGTCCCTTCTGATTGTCCCTTCTGAGTTTTTCCTTTAAGTAGATAACAGAGGAAATCTGTCATGTCAATTTCCCCTTGAATTTTATATATTTATATATATATAATCACATAACTAGCTAAATATGAGTATTTTACAAACATTGTTCTTATTTTGCCCACCAAATCACCTTGATTCAATGGATGTTTTGAAAGAGGAAACTTGTCTAGCCTACAGAAATCTCCAACTAGTGAGATTTCCACAGTGCAAGGGAGTGGTCCATGTGTGTTGGAGAGGACAGCAGCTTTTTTTTTTTTTGAGACAGTATCTCACTGTGTCACCCAGGCTAGAATGCAGAGTCACAATGATCACGGCTCATTGCAGCTTCAAACTCTTGATTCAAGCAAGTGATCCTCCTGCCTCAGCTTCCTCTGTAACTGGGACTACAGGTGCATGCCACCACACCCACTACTTTTAAAAATTTTTTGTAGACCCACCTGGGCAGCGAGACCTCATCTCTACAAAAAAATCAAAAAATCAGCTGGGCATGGTAGCGCATGCCTGTAATTCCGGCTACTTGGAAGACTGAGGTGGAAGGATCGCCGGAGCCCAGCAGCTCAAGGCTGCGGTGGCCGGGAGTGGCCACTGCACTCCAGTCTGGGCGACAGAGTGAGACTCCAACTCAAAAAAAAAAAAAAATTTTTTTTTGTAGAAACGAGGTCTCGTTATGTTGCCCGGGCTAGTCTCAAACTCCTGGCCTCAAGTGATCCTTCTGCCTCAGCCTCTCAGAGTGCTGGGATTATAGGCGTGAGCTACCTGACTTGGATGATATTTTAAAAATAACATTCCAGAGAACAGTGGCCTTTTCCTACTAAGTTAGATTCCATATTTACTCCTGAGAATTTTGCTATGGGTTATGCTGGAGCTTTACTGTGACCCTTTTCTTTATTCTTATATGACACCCTCAGTATCATAAATGGATTCTCTCTCTTCCAAAGATGCTGCTGCTGATGGTGCCACCATTTCTTGGAAGGAAAATTTTGATTCAGCATATACTGAGCTGAATGAAATTGGAAGGTAATGACAATTTTCAATTCATTCATTTGTGAACACCTAGCAACATCACAACAGAATGATTTATTTTTGTTATTGCTTTTCTGTTTCTTTTATAAATGCAGTCTTTCTACAGTAAGAAAATAACTAGAATATCTATTTGTATTATCCACTGTTCCTTTTCTAATTTCTTTCTTTTTTTTTTTTTTGAGTTGGAGTCTCACTCTGTCGCCCAGTCTGGAGTGCAGTGGCCACTCCCGGCCACCGCAGCCCCAACCTGCTGGGCTCCGGCGATCCTTCCGCTTCAGCCTTCCACATAGCTGGAACTACAGGCGTGCACTACCACACCCGGCTAATTTTTTTTTTTTTTTATTGTAGAGATGAGATCTCACCAAGTTGCCTGGGCGGGTCTCGAACCTGCGGGCTCAGGCAATCCACTCAGGATTACAGGCTGAGCCACCGAGCCCATCTCTAATTTCTTTCTTTCTTTTTTTTTTTTTGAGTTGGAGTGTCTCACTCGGTTGCCCAGACTGAAGTGCAGTGGCCGCAGCCTCGCCTGTTGGGCTCCGGCGATCCTTCCACCTCAGCCTTCTGAGTAGCTGCAATTACAGGCATGCGCTACCACGCCCGGCTGATTTTTTGATTTATTGTAGAGATGAGGTCTCACTGCCCAGGTGGGTCTCGAACCCGCGGGCTCAGGCAATCCACTCGCCTCAGCCTCCCAAAGGCGCAGGATTACAGGCTGAGCCACCGAGCCTGGCTCTCTAATTTCTTAAGTTGGATGTTTTATTCATCAACTCTCAGCCTTTCTTATTTTTTAGTATAAGAATTTAAGGCTCAAATTTTTCTTCAAAGTTCAATTTTAGCTATAGTGCCCAAACTTTGATATGTGGTATTTTCACTTTTATTTAGTTGCATGTATTTTTTCTTCAGCTATAAATTTTTCTTTGACCCAGTTATAATGGAAAAATATTTTAATATCTATGAGATTTTTTTTAAAGTATCTTTTTGACAATGATTTCTAAATTAATTTTCATTGTAGTCAGAGAACTTAATCCACATGATATTAATTACCTGTTTTTTGTTGGGACTTGCTTTATGAATAGTACATGGTCAATTTTTGTAAAAAGTTCCATGTGTTCCTGAGAAGAATGTATAACCATGAATTGTTCACTTCAGGTCTCTACATTCTTCCTTGTGTCAAGCACATTAACTGTTTTATGAGTATTCCTAATCCAAATCCCACTCCCCCACATACACATTGACATCTCTCTGTCTGTTTCTCCCTCTCTCTCTCTCTCTCTCTCTCTCTCTCAGTATTTTGATTAAAGAACACCTAGTGTGTCCTTTAAAATATTTATCTTTTAACAGAAAATTTTAAAAATCTATCACCTAGCTCATCAAATAGTTGATGGGAAAGAAACACAAGGGGTTCGTCCTATGCATGCACTGCTCTGGGTGGTCTGGGTAAGAGAATGTGGGGAGATTTCACAAGTTGCCCACGCCTTGGATGTATGAATAAAAGAACACCCACTAACAATGGGCCTCTGGCCTTGGAGACCTGAGTGAGTCAGACCAAGCCAGTCATGGGGTCAAATGAGAGCCAGTATCATTTTGTGGCAGAATTGCCCAAAGACTCAGGTATTGGCAGCATCGAGTACCTCTGGTAGAAGGAGGACACAAAAATTGGAAGGACTGGCTGAAACTGTTTGAAAAGAAGTTGTGTCTCAAGAGGGAGTGAAAGTAGATGCCTGTGGTTCAGTCTGCCATCCTTACCTGGAGGCCTAGTACTGCTACCTTTTTAGAGTCTCTACAGGCAACCAGCTAGCATTCCCAAGGATAAGTTGTTGGCTCCAAATCTCCCCCACCTCAGCTTCAGGCACCCATATGATTGTCCTTCTCCATCCAGGAAAAGACTGGAGTTTTATTCTCTGGAAAGGAAAAAACAGACCATCCCTGTCCTTGGGGATAGCAGGCTCAATTGAGGGCAATGGAGCTAGACTGAAAACAGGAAGTATGAGATGGTATGCATGCTGGATACTTAGAACCCCAGCGCTTGCATCCACTGGACCTCCGGAGGTGGACAACCAGGGCTCCACCCTCTAGGGTAGAAAGCAGGAGGCTCTTTCCTGGGGACTCTGAGCAGCCCAAAAGGAAAGACTTGACAGTACTAAGTATGGAGCTTTGCCAACCATACAGCCCCGTCAGATCACCCTGTAGTAAAGTAAGAGTTGACAGACTTCACCCCCACACTCAGAGCTTCCAATAGCTTTTTAACCCTGAACTTTTAAAATGAGCCAACTCTTGATGCCAGTCAAGTTGGAGTAAGCCCATTGAGGCCTTTATCTCCCACTGATTATATCCCTGAACAAAATACAAAAAACAATGGCCTGAGGGTTCCGGGCTGGTCTTTCACAGTTCCCTCCTCTACTCCTGGGTTAGGGCGACTCGTGGGCAGGCTTGGATGACCCTGCCTTGGGACCTTGCTGGCCTTCCCTTGATCTGCTTCCATTGCTGAGCTGTGCCCCTTCTACAATACTTGGGTCTTACCACCTTCCATAGGCAACAGCTGCATCTGGGAACCATTCTGTTTCAGGGGTTAGTAATCCTGTCATATGTGATAGTGGCAGGGTGGCTACGTATTTCCAAGTGTTTTTGTCAATGAGGGATGCAAACTGATGTATTTATGAATAAAATGACATGATATCTGGATTTTGCTTAAAATACCTTAGGGGAAAAGCAGAAAGTAGAAAAGGAATAGGTGAAACAAGATTGGTAAAATGTTGATAATGATTGAAGTTGGCTGCATAGAAGATCTATTCTGCTATTCTCTTTCCTTTTGTGTATTTTAGGGTTAGGGTTGAGAAATTGAGAAACGTTTTTAAAATTATCATTGAGTAGAATTCTGCTTTCTTTAATGTTGTTTTTATTGCTGCATTTTATAGAAATATATATTCTGCTTAGAAAATTAAACTGAACCTGCAGTTGATCAAAACGACAGAGAAATAGGCTGGGCGTGGTGACTCATGCCTGTGATTCCAGCACTTTAGGAAGCCCAGACAAGAGGATTGCTTGAGGCCAGGAGTTTGAGAACAGCCTGGGCAACATAGGGAGACCCCATTTGTATAAAAAATTAAAAATTAACCAGGGACACACCTTTAGTTCTAGCTGCTCAGGAGGCTGAGGCAGAAGAATCATTTGACCCCAAGGGTCAAGGTTAGTGAGCTAGGATCACCACTCAACTTCAGCCTGGACAACAGAGTGAGACCCTATCTCAAAAAAGAAATTATGAGAAATATATTGACTAAATAATTATATTAGTTAGTTTTTTTGCTAAAAGGAAAAATAGGTTTTGTAATTAAGAATATAGGAAAGTAGGATTCCTAATAAAATATTACTGTCTGACCACTTTAGACAAAACTTTACACAATTCATGGATAAAATATACCTAGTTGATTGATGAATATTAGAAAACTCTTTCTCCCTTTTGTTTTTCCAGAGGCCGTTTCTCTATAGTAAAAAAATGCATTCACAAAGCGACCCGCAAAGATGTGGCTGTGAAATTTGTTAGCAAAAAAATGAAGAAAAAAGAGCAGGCTGCTCACGAGGCTGCTTTGCTTCAGCACCTGCAGCACCCCCAGTACATCACTCTCCATGACACCTATGAGTCCCCCACATCCTACATCCTGATTTTGGAACTGTAAGTATAGGTGTCATCTCTCCGAGGTGGTTCCTATTTTGGGGGGTTATTTCTTACACCCAGTTACATTTGTCTCATAGTGTCCAAAGTACTGCATGTAACATGCGCTTGCCCACTACTGTTCCACCAGAACGGTAAGACGCTGTACTTGGGAGGAGAAATCTGGGTTCCAGTCAAATCACCCCGTAGTAAATCATCCAGCTCTGTGACTTGAAGCTGAATACTTTCTAGGCCTCCAGTATCCTCATCTGCAAGGACTAACGAATAACCTTAGCTTCCTGGAGCTTATAGGCATTAAGCTAGATGAATATTGGGTGGAACTAGTCTAGTAAACATGGACTGAGTACTTACTATGTGCCGACCACTGTGCAGACAGGAGCCAGGATTGGGGGAACACAGGTGAAAAGATATAGTTCTTGCTATTGAGGAGTTACAAGCCCAGTGAGGAAATGGATGGTTTCAATATAGCATAATAAATACTAAAAAAGAAGTGCATGCATTGGAGAGGGTTGCGATGTGAATATAGAAAGATGCTTGCTTGGGCCTGAGGTCCAAGAAAGGTTTGTGGAGAGGCAGTGCCTGAGCTCACCCAAGTGCTGGATCTTGTTATGCTGTAACTATGAGCCTCTACTTTGGTGGTCACCAGAATTTCTGGGAGAGATTTTTGCTATCAGGCAACTGAAATTCTGATTCCCTAGTCTAGGATGAGATGTGGGCATCCGCCTTATCTAAAGGCTCTAAGGTTGAACCTGCTGGCTCAGATTCTGTGGTCTTGGAGCAGTTCTACAGTACATTTCTCCCTTAATCACTCCAAGACGGTCAGGGACATGTAATTAACAAGCCTAATCCTGCTCCACTCAACTCTGACCACTCTTACTCCACTCCAAGGTCAGAGGGAAGTAAAGGAGACCTGCATTGGTCCTAGCCTTTGCTCCCATGGAGAAAAATAGAAGCGACCAGTGGGAAGGAACAAGCCAGAGGAGAAAAAGGACACTTGGCCTAGGGGATTTCAGCTGTGATCAAATGTAGTTTCTGACCCTGGATCAAGTTCCTCTGCCTGGGCATTTTGTGGGATGTACCTTTTTTTTTGTTTATTTGTTTGAGTTGGAGTTCTCACTTTTGTTGCCCAGGCTGGAGTGGACACAATCACAGCTCACCACAACCTCGACCTCCTGGACTCAGGCATTCCTTTTGCCTCAGCCTCCTGTAGCTGGGACTGTGGGCGCACACCACCACACCCAGCTAATTTAATTTATTGCTTTTTTGTAGAGATGAGGTCTTGCCTAAGCTGTTTTCAAACTCCTGGGCTCAAGCAATTCTCCCACTTTGACCTCCCAAAGCTGGGATTACAGGCATGAACCATCACACAGCCTGGGAGGTACCTTTAACAGTCTCCTAGACATTAAAGAATAACTGCCTGACATTTGTTAATTCCTCGCTGTAAGAAGGCACAGGGTGTCTAAAAAATCTACCATTTACTTAGCACTTACTTTTGTTACTAATTATGCTTAAATGCCTCATTGTCTCACTTAATCCTTGCATAATCCTCATCATGAAGGAGGGAGTATTATTATTATTTTGTTATTCTCAACTTAAAGATGGCTCATTTCAGGAAAACTAAAAGAGTTCAGATGACTTGCTTCCAACCCCAGCCAGCAGGTAGCAGAACTGGGACTCAAATCTGGGTCTGGCTGACTCCATGTGTCCTTCACAGGCTTTAAGACTGGAAGAGTTGCCCTGAAGGCAAAGGATTAAAAAAGGGATCAAGGACACCAAGGACAAACTTTACCTACTTTCTATTTTCCCCAGCTAAAAACTGACAGATAAAAGTAGTTTGCAAAACATATACGGGACTGTTCGCTATATGTTAGTTAATTAGAATATTGCTAAAGTCTCAGTGAGAGCTTTTATTGAGCAATACAACCTCTTAAAGGGGTGTCAGATCTTTTACCTTGTGAGCAATTTTTAAAGCTAGCAAAATGAAGCAAACCACAATTGTATACATATTATTTTCATTCTGAACATGACACTGACTTTGGACCCTAACTATATGTGTGCGATGCAATACTGATTGTCATTTATAACAGGGAGTAAGAGATCTTAGAGAGCTCACTGACTGTACATGTGGTATTTTTTTGTTTGTTCACAAACCTATTTCCTTTGCCTTTTCGTCCCTACTTTCAGGATGGATGATGGCCGGCTCTTAGACTACCTTATGAATCATGATGAGCTGATGGAGGAAAAAGTGGCTTTCTACATCCGAGACATTATGGAAGCTCTGCAGTACCTCCACAACTGCAGAGTTGCACATTTGGACATTAAGGTAATAAGAAATGGCAACCACTGCCAGGAAAGGGCGCAGTTCAACTCACAGGTCATTACTCTTAAGGAATGCAAATGTAAATACCTTTTATTTACTTAGATTAGAACCCTTATAACTATTAAACAGAAACTAGGTTGTCACACAATTTAAATGCATTATTCATGAATTAATGTGAACACATCAGAGTCACAGTAACATCTGGTGTGAGAGGACATAGGAAAACTTTACCTACCTCATCTAACTTTATAGAAGAAAGACAGTAAATGTCACCGTCTCTTTCTTGCTGCTCAGAAAGAGGCTCCTGTTTTCCAAAATGAGGAATTTATTATTTTCTATTCAATGCAGAAGCATTGAAAGGACAGGACTTTCAATGTCAAACAACTTCTCTAAGTACTACCGAAACTCAAAGTGTAGTGAGTTCATACTGATAGTTGGAAGCCTCCTATGTACTTTGTATAGGGAATTGTCCACACACTGTAGGCTTTATCAAAGAATAGCAGAAGCATGTTTGAAGTAATGGCATCCTGCTGGTAGTCAAAACAGAGAGCTGAACTTCCCTTCTCTTGTCCCTCCTCCTTGGATCTCCGCAGCCTGAAAACCTGCTCATTGACCTGCGGATTCCAGTGCCTCGAGTGAAACTCATCGACTTGGAGGATGCTGTCCAGATCTCGGGTCACTTCCACATTCACCACTTGCTGGGGAACCCTGAGTTTGCCGCCCCAGAAGTGATCCAAGGCATTCCTGTCTCTTTGGGCACAGACATCTGGAGCATTGGGGTTCTGACATATGTCATGCTGAGTGGGGTCTCCCCCTTCTTGGATGAGAGCAAAGAGGAGACATGTATCAACGTATGCAGGGTGGATTTCAGCTTCCCCCATGAATACTTCTGTGGCGTGAGCAATGCTGCCCGAGATTTCATCAATGTGATCTTACAGGAAGACTTTCGGAGGCGGCCCACAGCGGCCACTTGCCTCCAGCACCCGTGGCTGCAGCCCCACAATGGCAGCTACTCTAAGATCCCTCTGGACACCTCACGCCTGGCATGCTTCATAGAACGCCGTAAGCACCAGAATGACGTTCGGCCGATTCCCAACGTCAAGAGCTACATTGTCAACCGGGTGAACCAGGGGACGTAGCCATCTTCCGGCCCCCAAGGTTTCACATGGAAGTGCAGTGTGAACCAAAGTAAGACTGAATGTGTCTGTAAATAATTCTGTTCATTATTTCACTCCATGCAGTTCTCTGGATTGAGAGACGTACCTCTTAAACCTCGTCAGTGGTTATTCAGGGTCTGAGCAGCAGTAACAGTCACCCTACACCCAGGGGCTTTCTAGAAGGTCATTCTGAAGAACTAAAGATGCAAAGCGTTGCAGAAAGTATTAAAAAAGAAGGGCAAGAGCAACAAGAATATTAGCTGTTATAAAATTGTAATTGTATTTTCCAAAATGAGTGGTTATCTGGGCAAAACTTAAGCTCACTCTAGTGAGAATAAAAGATTTCTGCCTTTGCTGAAAATGTAAGCTAAAAGTTCTATTCATTGGAGATGTCATGTATATCAACTATTCTGGTTTAGATGACTTAGATATAGTTTCTTAATAGGATACATATACACATACAGTTAATATATCCCATTCAGGTTTCAGAGTTTTATAATATAGAGATATATATTAAATCAATCATAAGTAACTTTGAGTGCTCCAGTTAAGACAGTAATTTATTTACCGAAGCATTACATTGTTTTGACTAAGCACAATTAGATGACGAGTTTTTTAGAGCATTTTATAAATCTTGTATAGAAATCTTTTACCAGAATCTGTGCATTAAGGGAAAGCAAAGTTACCCTTTTGCAATCTGTGAGTAAGAAGACTTTTTCTGTCAATCACAGGTTATTTGATTAAGATAGGTTCTGTATATGAAACACTACCCCTGAATTCACTGGCAGCTCAGAGTTAATCTGGCAAGAAAGCCTGCCAGGAAATAAGTTCAAATACATTAAGAGTTGCGGGGCTATTTTTGTGTCTACACCTCGTTTGAAATAGGTAAACAAATATAACAGGTTCATACAAAAGGGCAAATAAAAACCTTTCCTACAGTTCCTATGAGCAACATACCAACACTTTCTGGTTTCTTCTACTGCTGTAGAATACAGTCTTCAGAAAGTTGGCCTGCTTTATTTCTAACTCCTTATTGAAGCTAAGGGGTGCTTACCTAAAGGAGGCAGCCATATAGGCCTTTGGAAGGCCTGGTCCTAAGTCCTTTTCAAAGCCATGGAGCAAAACCTGATACATCATCCTAACAGAGCATTGAATTTTAACTGAGATTGCAATACCTGTCACCACTCAGCTGCTATTTCTCTGGACTAAAAGGACTAATTGTACTTTGAGGCCGATGCTGCTTTCTGGTGTATATTCTCCATACAAGATTATTATTAACTGCTCTTTTTCCCTCTGGTGGAAAAAAATTAAAACCTGGGCATTTCATGTTTTTTTTCTTTTTTATTCTTGGGGGGAGTTTTGTTTTTTTGTGTTTGTACATGATCTACTCTTTGTTTTCTGGAATGTGTTTTGAAAAACCACTGTTATACAAATAATATTTTAAAAATGTAACTCAAGTGTTTGTTCAAATCAGGTTTAATGGCAATGCTTCTCTCCTATAATGGAACTGAGAAAATTGAAATCATGCAGTACAGAAGTACAAGCAGAGAATTCATGAAAGATAAGTAGAACTACAAACCCATTTCAATGGAAAAGAAATGGTGACCCTGAACTTCAATATACAAAAACACTTATTCTCACAGTGGAAATGTAAAATTAAAAATATGCATCATTCTTTTCCATTGGTTTCAAAGTTAGCTTCCTCATCCACCCTCCACCACATCCTGTCCAAGATTATAGATTAATAAATTAGTAGAAAGAAAAAGCAATAAAACTAGATAGCACTGAGTATTTTGGGGATTGACCAAATATGTGGAGACTGATGCCAACTGTATGTTTCCTAGTTTTTGAATGGCCCTGGGTCATCAAGGCTCACTCCCTCAGAGCTCCCTCTTGACCAACCTTCCATAGTCTCCATCTGAACCATTGTGTATATACAAATACTATGTGATACAATATTTAAAAGTTTAAAACATATTTACTAAAAGCTCTTTTAGTAAACATGTCTTCATTATGATATCCAGCATGAAGGAGGAAAACCTGTGTTGTGGGATAGATTGAAGGCTCTGAGGACTCCCAATATTCATATAGTATGGCTTGGCAAATTCTATTCTGTCCACTGAGGATGCCTAGAATAAAGATCTCCCTGCTGAGTCATTTTGAATTTTTATAACAAGCTGAGTTTCTGTTCTAGAGAGATAGGGTCTAGGACAATGGTGCACAGATCACAGCAGGAAGGCATTCATGAGATTGTATCAGGGGAGGTGGGGAGCTGACAGTGTTAGAATCCAAGCATTCATGACAGCTTTTACATCAAGGCTGGGAGGATCCAAATGTGGGGCTGCATGGATTCCCCCCCAAGTATACAAGTGGGGAAGTGAGAAGACAGGAGAGGAGGGACATAGAAATGGAAAGTAGTATGATTTTGTTAAATGGAGCCAGAGTACAATCATTAGAATAGATTGAACTTAATAGAGGTCCTAAGAGAAAGGGGGTATATATTTTATATATTGTTAACTGAAGAAAACTAATAGGGAGGCTACCTGTCTGCAAAGCTCCTGGCCCTTCCCAGTGGAATAAGATAGTGGTCTTGGTCTGAGAATTTTCCATAGCAAGTTGGAAATAACAAGGAATTCCAAGAGATGGGACTCAGAAATGTACTTCAGGTTGCTCTGTGGGCAACTGTGGTGAGGGAAGAAGGATCAGGGACCGCTGCCTTGTTCCTGTTTTGGCAGAAAAACTTAAGACTTGGTGGGAGAGAAGAGAAAATGGTCTACTACAATAATTGTGGTCGTTCCTGGTGGGTGTGAACTTCCATCTGGAACAGGAAAAACAAATAATGGTCAAAGTCACAATTTTCTTGCTTGGCTTCTAAACCCGCTGCATAGGGTTTTGAGGGGTTTTTGTTTTGTTTTGTTTTGTAAAGCTGGGATGCAGAAAGAAGGAAAAGATCAGGGACAATCCGTCATAACCTTTAAGAAGTATACTGAATTCCTACATCTTTTACCTTTGTTTCAAGTTATATGTATATCCACTTACAGCTGAATGTGGTAAAATTTTTAGGGAAAAAAATTGTAATGTTGGCGGTGTCCTTCAGGTCTCTCTCAGCCATAACCAGCCTAAGGGGGAGTAGGGGAAGCAGAGGAAGAAGCTGGCTTCACTGCTTTGTGGTCCACAGAGCTGTTCTAAATTGTAGTGCCTTGCAGAGGGGAGGATAGGAGGTAAAGACGTCCATTGCATTTAGATTTGATAAAGCATTTTTTCTTTATTTAAAAAGACCTTTTAAATGAAATCATCTGAATATAGGGTGGGACCAGAAATTCTTGAGTTTCAACCTTAGCTATTCCTGATTCATCTTTTCTTACAGAAAGTCTTTGTTTTTTGGCCCCAAATGTCCCCATTGGTAAAATGGGAATTGGGGGAAGGGGAAGGAGGAAAGACATTAATCTCACAGGAATGTTGAGAAATGACCTTGATTGGGACATTTATAAGATACTTTGATTTTTTTCCAAGTGCTACACACTGCCAGTGCTAAGAATTTTATTGATAGTAACTTTGAACATTCCAGGGTTTCGATATTCATGTCTTTAGATACCATTTATAAACTCATGAGATTAAATTCTGTAAATTGTTTCAATTGGCAGTACTAGATACTCTTTGTCTAAATGTCATTTGATCTTATCCTATAATTTCAATCATTTAAGAGATTGCCCACAGAAAAAGGTTGGGAGAGCTGATGAAGTCTTACATCCATAAAGTGTTTTCTCCAGTATTTCTTGTGGCAGATGCAAAGGATAAGATGCCCTCCAAAGTAACCGCTACCTTCTCTTCTCAAGCTTCATGCTTTGGAAAAATGGGCAGAGAAGACCCCAAACAGCCACTTTCCTCACTTGGAGGACAGAAGTGAGAGTGAAACATCTTCCTGTACCACAATTTATTTTTCACAGTTTCACAGGGATCTATTACAAGAGGCAAATTACATGCACAGAAATGAATTGGATTGTTAAATTTTGGAGGGAAAACCTTGAAACACTTTTTTTTAGATGGTTAGATCTTCCAGGAGCAGTACGTTTGCTGCCCCATAACCTCCATGATTTAGTACCCATAAGTTAGTCATTACTTATTTTTTGCCTAAGTGGAAAAGTATGGAGATTTTAGTTTGTGAGAATATGAAGGAGCAAATATGATATAAACTAAATGGTGGATATTCCTGTGCATTAATTAAAACTTTGTCCCACGCATCTGATAGAGGAGAAAAAAAAATTTTTTTTTTGAGTTGGAGTCTCACTCTGTCGCCCAGACTGGAGTGCAGTGGCCGCTTCCGGCCACCGCAGCCTCGCCTGCTGGGCTCCAGCGATCCTTCCACCTCAGCCTTCCGAGTAGCCGGAATTACAGGCATGCGCTACCAGGCCCAGCTGATTTTTTTTTTTATTTATTGTAGACATGAGGTCTCGTTGCCAAGGCGGGTCTCGAACCCGCGGGCTCAGGCAATCCACTCACCTCAGCCTCCCAAAGGCGTGGGATTACAGGCTGAGCCACCGAGCCCGGCTGAGGAGAAAATATTTTTAACATAAGGGGTCTCTGGAGTAGGTCAGAGGACAAACTCGTCACATCCTTATTCAGTGTGGCTGATGGATTTACTGGATGAGTTTTGAGGAATGTAGACCTTATTCCTTTCTCACATGGGTAGAATCTCTGTGGAGTCTGGGTTAGACAAACACAGTATGTGAGCTTTCAGTGGATTTATTTGTAAAACTGCATCATGATTTTTCTTCGTTATTTAAAGTCTAAGGGTCATTTGGGAATGAATGATTGAACCCAGGGTGGGCTTAGTGAAGATAAAGCTCATACATGCTTCATTGAGAAAAGGAAAACTACTATGTTAACATTTGCTTTCTAAAAAGATTAAAAAAGGGCTGAAATCTTTCATAGCACTAAATGTTTTTAATAAGAAATATTATTCACATGAAGCATTTATACAGAAATAGTAGAACACAGAAATATCATAAGACCATATTTTCTATGAAAGACCATATTCCTCATTGTCAATATATAGAAGTTAGAGGAGAGGAAAAAGCAAACACTCTAAGATAACTTTTAATCTTTAAGGGATATTACAGAAAGCCTGAAATTAATACTCGCAGGTTATTGTATTTTCTTGTCAGCTTGTTTGGGCTGGGAGATTCTAAAATGTTATCAGATTTAGTTTTTATTCAGATGATCAAGGTAATTGTTTAGTCAGATAACTGTTATTTCAGGTTGTGCGGTTAGCTGAGAAAAGGAAGCATGGTAGAAAAAGTACAAATAATAATCCTTGGAATGCCAACCCCCAAGGTTTAGGGTTTTTTTTTCTTTGAGTTGGAGTC